GATCATACGACACATCTCAAATACAGACGGAAATTAGGCGGCCTGAAGCATTTTGCTGTCACAACTGCTTCAATCAAGCGATGGTCGCGAAATTCTGAATAACGGAGCAGTTTGCAGTAAGTCAACTTTTGTATTCAACCCAACATGTTCAGTAGTTTAGTAAAAAAAAATACAACTGGTTGCGAATGCATACGATATAGGTTTTGAATACAGCAAAAGGATTAAACTCTGTAGTTCAGTGAAATACTGTTCATGGGAACCAGCTTGTTGAATCTCTGTGTAAAGGCAAGGGTGTTGTAATTTTGTGGGAATTGTGAAAGCCGAATATCTCATCTCGTCAGATTTCAGCTTCGTTCTTACATGTGTGGTACTGCTTCTAGTGAAAGCGTTGTGATACTAGGTTCTTTGGGGAAAGTATGTATCGCATAACGCATTAAATACCTTTATTGTCTCGTTGAAGAAAAATCAATCTGTTCTGTGAAACAACTGAAGGATGAAATCTAAGTAGATCGTTACTCCATTTGCTGATCTTCTCTCCGATTGACATCGCTGTTGGTTCGAAAGGCTGTTCATCCATCCCATAAAACGAATTGCGCAGTGCATGCCTTCACAGAACGGGGTGATATACACTCTGCTCGCTCGATGTACGCATCGACGAAAACAACGTTAGTACCTGGCATTCCAGATGCTACAAGAGATCCAAAATTGCCCGCGAAGATTTCCATATAAAAAATTCACCATCCTAATGTGAAAATTCTTGTTTAAGCTTCAGAAATCGAAATATTTGTGTTCGATAATTAATTGTTCGGTTGTTTTACACAACCGCCATGTACGAACAATTCCATTTTGAATAAAAGGATATAAAAATAAGTCGTCTCGGGTTTTAAGTTATTAATCTTGTGCATAGAATCCTGTTTTCTTCCCGTACATCTTGTGCAGAAAACGATTATTATCGACAGGGACGACCGAGAGATGAAGGTCCCTGAATTATAGCCCCGGAGAACGTGTGTTCGAATCCCGCCACCTCTGCTTAACTTTCCTCCCTGTGTTTTATGGTAGCCGTTTGATTGACCGCTTCGCCCTCCTGAAACTTATATCATCATATGTTGAATAAAGTTCGATAACTTAAAATTATTTTTCACACGTATAGCGCAACCAGTTGTATTGTTTTACTAAACTACTGAACATGTTGGCTTGAATACAAACTGCTCCGTTATTTAGAATTTCGTGAACATCACTTAATTGAGGCAGCTGTGATAGCAACATGTTTCAGGCCGATTAATTCCCGTCTGCATTCGAAATGTGCTGTATGATCGGTAACCGAGCCTGCACATTGTGTTATTCCTAAATCAACGTTTTATATGCACGACACATATCATTACAATCTATCTTTCTGTCTGAACACTGTTCTGGATTTTTTTATGCAGAACTCAGCCAAACATAATGTGACAAGGCTAACGGATGTTTGGAAAACCTGTGGTATTCAGCTCGTGAAAAGCAGATTGCAACCTTCAAGTGATTTTCCGTTCTTTTTTCCAGTGTTGTCCCGGCTATGTATCCACCGATATGACAAGACACAAAGGTAGCAAGACTCCGGAGCAAGGTCAGTTGCTTGTATATATCCTTATTGGCCACTATCAAAAATACCATCACCATTCTGATTCTAGAGCTAATTATAATTATAATTCCAGAGCTCGCAAAAAATTATCAAGGATTCTAGTGTTTCACACTGGTTCAGTTTCAAATTTACACGGTTTCATTGTTGAATTGGCGAATTACACTCAGTGTTAGTGGGCTCTTTTTTCAATCTGATTGTTTGCAACTGCGAGCGGAATGAGATTTGCATTTTACTGTATAATGTTTAGTGTGCTACTCATTACTTTTTCTTCAAATTGTTTTTCTTTCGAAGAAAACTATGGCATTTAACTAAATAAAATCGAATCATTAAGGTGAGTCTGTTTGAGCCAGTCTAAACCCCGGCGCGATTCTAAGTTCGCCTATTGTAAAAATTTTTGGTGCGAATCCACTAATGCCTGAGACGTTTTCCAGGCCACATGTTTACCCACATACTTCTCCTGTACCTCCACTGCCCTGTTACCTAGAATCTTGGAAATAATATGAAATGATTCTATCTGAGGATGCAGATGGTCGTGTTGATTTGTTCTCCGTGCAGAAAGTGTTGTTCGCAGACGTTTCGTAGCCAGGCTAGGCACTGATGATGTTATCTAACCTGTCTACAAAACGTCTGCGAACAACGCTCTGCGCTCGGAGAACACATCAATACCAACAGCTAGAACCTTGTAATGCAGCACAGTTTCTCATTGGATTCACAAAGGAAGTCGATTTATCATGATTGGAGCTCAGAATATTTCACGCAAATTTGTAGGGTTTTGGGGGTGCAAAATTCATTTAGGGTCACTCCTAATGAGCGGTAAAAGCAATTTCATTTAGGAAAATACAATGTCCATTATGTGTAAATGTTAACTTGCAACGTCTCGGCATACGACTGATCAGCGACTTCGGAAGTCCTGCTTCTTCAATTCTACAACAAAGACTTTCTTTAGTTCAACCTTTGCTTGAAAAATTTGTATCGTACTCCTTTCTTTCCATTGGTCCCAAAATATTTTCTATGAGATTCAGATAAAGACTGTAGAACTATATATGTATATATATATATATATATAAAACACTAATCTGTTGTGGAAAATGATCGTTTACCCTGCAGCCGTATGAAGTGGGGAGGTGTCCTGACCTAAGTGTTCGCCTTTTCTCCGTGAGGTATGGCCAAATAATTTCGCAATTACTAACTGAACTTCGTTTGGGAATCCACGTATCTTGCAATCATTCCTCTTTCCGTAAGTTAGACTGTTAACTTGTCAAGCCATCCGGACCTGTGAGAGTAAATCTTTTCTTATCACTATGACATTCTACTGTTCACCATTCCAAACCGTGTTCTGTCGCCTATTGATCTCTACAAGCATCTGAGTGGATACCAATTACTCTGGAATTGTCCTCTTAGTGTATATCATATGTAAGTATATTTATATATTTTCACACTCGCCTAATTTAAGACTGTGTGCCAAACAAATCACAGCACACTAATCTGTATAAGAGAATAGGTCCATGATTTGCTCGAGGACACGATTTTGCTAAGTTACCCAGACGAAAGCAGGGGAACTTTATTAAGAAGTTCGGAACCAGAGCCTTCGATCAACCAAAGCCTGACCCGCAAGTCAGCGAGGTGGTGTGTGGAAACTGCAATCCATTGAGGGCCGGTGTCCAGTTCATCAAATCATACTTCCTGTGGACGGCGTCAAACGCCCAAGGTTAATTCGGAATCAGGGTTTTTAGATAGCTCCCCTAGGTGAACTGCCAGTGTTTCACCGACCCGGATATTGGCTTTTCAATTCTACTTGATGGAAAAACACCTTCATGAGGAAGCGGTGAGTATGACTTCCTCAACCGAGGCTATTTGAGATGCTTGGTCGTATGGGAGCGTTTTGAGCTGGGTGACCAGTCACAATCCAGGACACCACTCCGACTATACTTAGGCTTTCAGAGGGGTGTACATATGTGAATAGGCTTGGGGCATTTGCTGTACCCGATTGACGCTCAACCCAAAAGTAGGAGAACACTGACTTCAGATCACTTATACAGCGGTTACAGGCTTTCCTTAACAATCTTATTTTGACTTTTTCAGACATTTTCGATCACACCTTTCGTTTTCTTCATACTGTATCGAGGCGTATTAGCCATCAGGTTGTTCATTACGATCCTTTAGCATTTCTGGCTGAAATACATCCGCTAGTTTATCTAGCGTCTCAGTAGGCCAAAATATGTCCCTCACATAATCATGTCGAATCAGATAATACTTTTCATTTTATTGAAATTAACAAATGGCAACAAGAATATAGTTCATCAGGAAGTAATACTTGTGACTGATAGCTCGACTCTACTACTTAGAGAACGACAATTGTTGAATTTGTGAACTCAGGTAGCCAGTATTATACCAAAGAACAAAAGTTAGCGGAGCCAGTTAAGTCTCTCTAAAACAATTTCACACTTCCTTTAGTGCGGTATGTGTCATAGGCAAAGTTCGGTTCAAATTCGTTCATTTTATGATACAACGAGTACGTGCATAGTCTGATATCTTATCGAAATTTCAACGTTCTGGATGAAGAAGTAGCGGAGGTAGGCGGACAAAACACATGGGGGAATAACGTCATCTGAAGAGGGTTTTACAAATTACATCAAGCCATTTGTCGTGTACGCAGTTCACAAACAAACAAATCGCTCTCAACAGGAGCGAGCGAAAGTTTTCAAGTGGCTAGAAGTACCTATGGAGAAGACCCTAGGTATATGAATACCATAAGCACTCATAGGGTTCCGCGATCCTTGCCGGATGTCAGCTTCGGGTATTCGGCAATCATTCTTATTACAAAACTCCCGAATGTGAATCAGGCCACGCAAACTTCATCTACATTTGAACTGCAAATCGGTCCTGGTGACGAGTTCGTTGAGGTAAGCCGCATCTAATACAGAAAAGATAACACAAACATCCCAATGACTTTTCGAAGTAGTCTTATATCGAATCGACTCTCAGACCACGAAATACAGATTTCGTGCCTAATAAATAGCGCTCAAGATTCTGTGATGCTAAGCGGTTCCTCCTTCTTTTTGATCCCACAGTTAAACAGCTAATGTTAATCAATTTGCTTACTGTCGTAAACGATCTACCACTGATGCTGTAGCTTCCCTAGTACATTTGATTCTGTCATCGCTCGATAACAAATGCAAAGCTGTAAGAATGCGCTTTTTAGAATACAGTGACTCATTTGGAAGTAGAAAACGGTATTCGCGAAGAAATTTCTTTTCGATATATCGCATCAGGCGTTTACATATATAAGGTGATCATAATACAGATTGGAAGTGTTGATAGAGTTCAGCTTCGGTCTATTCTGGCAAAGCATGGAGTCCCTCCGCCTAATAATTCCCTGCTAAATAGCTACCTTTCTTTTCGAAAACGGCTTATACGCTACAGTGGTTAAGTTTCCTCAACCTTGAGATCTAAATCAGGGGTTCCTCAAGGAGCCATTTTGTCTGCTTTCTTCGTTTCCACTTACTTAGCTTCCATGTCTGTTTGCAAAGACTCCTTACTGATAAAAAATGCTGATGACGTTAATTTAGGCTTACCCTATCCCAAAACTCTGTTTTCCTCACTTTCCAACTTGATATCTCATAACCTAACGAGTGGTCTCTTCGATTCTACTTCTACTTCCAACCTTCTTGTCTTTCCCTTACTGGGTAGCCAAAAGACTGCAACCTAAACCGGCACACAAAGTGCATGGTTAATGGTTGTCCAAACTGAATCACCACCTTTATGTGAGCCCATCTACATGTAATGATGTTTTCTTTTCTCTCCTTAGGGGTAAACCATATTGTGATTCGTTCGAGATGTGCCAGCCGCTATTCACTACCGATACACCCCTGAGTCGGGGAAAATCAGTGAAGTATTCGGGCGTTATTCTTAACCATTATCTTCCTTCGTCTGAGCATACCAATAATGTACTTGCAAAAGCCAGGAGGCTTTCTTTTTTTGTCTAAGGAAATTATCCATTCCCTCCCCCCCTCCATCTGATAAAACAGTCTGTTCATGCCTACATCTTATCTCACTGGCTCTATGCTTCCCCAATGATTTTTCCTGGTTTATTACAAAAAGATAAATGTGTGATGTCTAGTTCAATCAGACACTGATCCATGTGTTTTGGTTTACGAAAAGCTCATTTAACCTATCACGTAGTCTCCCAACACACCAAAGCCTGCGCTAAACTGGTTCACAAATTACTACCTGACTCCTGTCACCCGCCTAACTCCTCATTATCTAAATGAATTTCAATCTCTTCTACTCACTCCAAGTACAAACACGTTCAAGCATACACAAAAGCATATTACTCTTCCATTGTTCATTATCTTGCTCGACTTTTGTGCCACTTGGACCGTATTTTGCATGATTTGTTCATAGCATTGAGTTAACTTAATGCATTTATCCATATCTTCAATTTTGTGGAGTATTTGACTGCTGGATTTGCACCAGATAATGCAATAAAGCAACTTCTTGACTTGGCTTGCAACTCAGCAACAGAAGTGGATTCTTCGATCGATCGTGTAACTAAATTGCTTGAATGAAGCATGAAATGGAACTTTGAAACAGAGTGAATAGGCATGGGTTAATTGGGGTGGGATTTTTCATGCCTAGCTTGGAACTGGTGTAGTGAACAACCCCATAGCAGGTATGCGATTAAATTTCAATTGTATGAAGTAAGAGAAGCCAGTAAGTGGCAAAGATAGATCTGTTTTTCCGTACTTCTCATCAGGCCAATACATTACACACAATCGAGCATGCATAGACACGACAAAGCGTGATAACTCGTAGTGTAAGTACTCGTACAGTTATTGTGATGATTGATGTTGAGAACTGTGTCCTGATGAACCAGTCAAGGATGAGTCAAACTGATGTGTCTGTTTCACGATCTTACTGGCCTTAGGCCAGGGCAACAGTGGGGTCTTGATGAATTGTTTTTGCGAAGACGGTATTGGTTCGTTTAGCCTGATTGCGTCGCTTCGGCTGTGCACAGAATTATTTGTCTCTTTTGTATGAAGTAAACCTCGAAGCAGAAAACGTGTGCATGCTTATGCACCAATTGTGGGATCTAGTCAGTAGCATCATGTACTTCCCATGATCAGTCGTTACGGTCCGGTCGACCAGAACGCCTGTCTATTCAAGATAAGCCGCGTTTTTCGTGGACAACCGAAAACAGTTTCTCAATGAGTGTCAGGTGACCCGATTTTTCTGTTCTGACAGTTGATCGAGGTGGACCGAATCCCACGACAACTGAACTCACTTGATCGGTCGGGCCGAAAAACTCACTGCAACGGTTTGTTGTGCTTGTCTTTTTCAGCAAAACTGCTTGTTGTCAAGTTTGCACTGATTGCAGACCATTGAATAATACCCTTTTTCGTCCGTTTAGTCTCAGTCATCGTTGTTGTTTCCTCTCTGTCCAGATTAGCTCCCATACTCACTCTGTCCGTTTCGGTCCATAGGTGCTGACACTCCGTTTTATTTGGCAACACTCCCGGTAGGAGTCACGGAACCGGTGAATCAGTTTGTTTCGGAGCGACGAGTACGACGCTGGGGACGAGGCCGACAAACAGCTAATGACAAACAACACTGAATACAATGACTAAATGTACAGTAAATTCTGGCAGTGTGTTGTGACCAGTAATCGGGTACTTCTCAGTCAACATGTACTGATTCGTTTGTGTCATCTTGTAGCGTTTTTTCTATCTATCCCCCCTTTCATCCAGACCATTTGACATGACGAAGGACTCCATCTTAACAAGCACGTACCAGTATTGACACACTGATAGGAACAAACACATCAAAGTGAGATACCGAACGCACGTCATGCTCCGTTTGAATTAATGAGCGAAATGGAGAATTTGATGAGATGAGATGATTAATGTTCTTATGTCCAGAGCAAACAAAGCGTGAACTGAAAAGCTGGGATGCACTGTACTACTGCTGCTTTGACTTGGTTGAATCTCATCAACTCTGCGAACCTTTCGAGTCCGGACCCCACAGTCAGAGCGCAAACCCACTTGATCACCGAATAGATGACTGGACCCTCTCTCGTTTTGTCTTAACACGACTATGGCTCGACTGGTATTTGAGAGCTTGCTGCGAGCATCACTCAACAGACAGAGAGGTCACTGATCGATAAATGTCGTCGCGGTGAGAAGACTCAAATACGTGTTTTCCGAGTCCGGATGAGTGATACAATTCAATAGGGAAATCCAAATTAATAATATGGTTCCATTTCGTGTAGCCCTTAGTTGCAAACAACTTGCCATTTGTGTGTGAATATTACCCAAATTAATAATATGGTTCCATTTCGTGTAGCCCTTAGTTGCAAACAACTTGCCATTTGTGTGTGAATATTACCACTCATTTAATACTCAGATAATATCAAAATTGTCGTGTTACACTTTATGATATTGAGAAAATGTTCGAGATGACAATATCTTTCAAACGGAGTTTTCTATATGAAACTACAAAGTGAAAGGTGTTTCTGTAGTACACGGAATAATTGCAATCCAGCAATGTAAATCTCACTTGAAATCAGCTACGGGAATTCCAGACATCTAGACGAGGGAACCACACGGAAGTAGCTGTTTCTCCCTATCAAAAATTAAAATGGTTTAACCATTTGCACAAAATATCATTGACCCAGATGGTATTAGTATCGAATCAGACTCACGGGTCAGTCATGTTGAGGCACTTCTGAATATACCACGGCGAAGGTGATTGTTCCCAATTTCGGCTTCTCCTAGGCGATCAGTAAACTATCACATGGCTTAGCAGAACTTTACAATTGAAATGAGGGGCCATCTCTAGCGTACTGCAATTTGTGCATCCATGCGCTGACAGCAGAGAGAGTTTTTTTATAGACAGAAGTGAGAGCCAAGTAAACACAGCTAACCAGTACTGAACGACAGTGCCGATTTGAGAGGAACGAAATCATTCCCTCAGGATCAAGGAGGGAAATGGTGACAGTCTATCACATGCAATCGAGTGTTGCTGATTAGTGAGAAAAATCCTGTGATTCCAAGTGGTACATCCATCTGTTGGACCGTGACTCACCAACCAAAACAGAGTGCCCGATCAACCGTGTAACTGAACTGTCAAACAGACTGGCCTAGTTGAATGAAGCATAAAGTGCAATTGTGAAACGGAGTGATTAAGATGGGGTGCGAGACTAAATTCTAATAGTGTGTTGTGACCAGTAATCGGATACTTCTCAGTCAACATGTACTGATTCGTTTGTGTCATCTTGTGGCGTTTTTTCTATCTATCCCCCCTTTCATCCAGACCATTTGACATGACGAAGGACTCCATCTTAACAAGCACGTACCAGTATTGACACACTGATAGGAACAAACACATCAAAGTGAGATACCGAACGCACGTCATGCTCCGTTTGAATTAATGAGCGAAATGGAGAATTTGATGAGATGAGATGATTAATGTTCTTATGTCCAGAGCAAACAAAGCGTGAACTGAAAAGCTGGGATGCACTGTACTACTGCTGCTTTGACTTGGTTGAATCTCATCAACTCTGCGAACCTTTCGAGTCCGGACCCCACAGTCAGAGCGCAAACCCACTTGATCACCGAATAGATGACTGGACCCTCTCTCGTTTTGTCTTAACACGACTATGGCTCGACTGGTATTTGAGAGCTTGCTGCGAGCATCACACCTCGTTCTTCTCAGCACTAGTACCCAGCGTTATGACGCTGGGGCCGAATTCAACTGTTATTTGGTTCATGAGAAGGAGGAAAACGTTTTAGTCCAACGTGATGGGAAGACGTTTCGTTAGGGTATGCGTTACACCTGCTGGCGCATTTTGCTGCCACGAAAGCAAAGCTAAAAAAACTTTACTGGTTGAATGCTCTACATTTGTGCAAATCATTTTATATCGTACGAAGAAAAAGAAACTTGCGCGCTCTTGCATTCTCTTTTACACACAGCTTGGAGCTTTCCCTGGCAATCTAAGTACAAAGTTGTACAGTCCATTTATTGCCGCATAATTTTGTCCCAGCTGATATGCCGACCAACATGGTTTGCAAATTGACCGTATTGCGTCAACAGAGAATTCAGAAAGACTTTAAAAATGTCATTCGACAAAAAGAAATTCGAGGGAAAAAGCTTTCCGGAAGGTAATGAACTAATTTGTAAACAAATATTGCGGTTCCTGCTAATACTACTCACGGATGAAATTCTATTAAAAACTCAAACCCATCAGCACACAAATCTCGCACTTTAGAGAAGTGTCGAAGGTCAATAAATCGTGTAGGATAAGTTGCTGTTTTCGAACAGCGTAAGAGCGCGAGGAGAACGATCGAAACCCGTGCACGGCAGAAAACCCACAATCCGTTCAAATCTAGTCATCCGCACTGGTCACATAGAAAAACGCACACGTTTGTTGGCTTAAACAGTCAGTCAGTCTGAGCAGTCTTTCCCGAAGTTCGTGTCGTTCCGTTAATTTGCACTATAATTCCCAACCGTCAAATCGACTTGGTTCAATCGAAGTGAGTGATCCACATTTGGGTTCATGGTTATTCATCACTGTGGAACGCAAATGAACCAACTATTTGTGCTATGATATCACCGCATTCCGAAGATAACTTCGAGTCTGAGTTCACTATCACATCAGATATATGAATGGAATGCTCGTGTTCAATCCAGCATAATCACTTCATTAAAAGCATGCATTGTGTTTCTGACAGATGAGTCAATCCTGTTAAAAAAACGAGCCTTCAATCAAGTGAAATTGCTCCATAAAACAGGTCATTCTTGAGCCTACTTTGGCAGCCTCTGTAGTAATCTTTCTCGTATATAGCTTCTCTTCGGAATAATATCTTCGATAAAATGAGCAAATTAGAAGCCGACATTACGAGAAACGATTGATCAGCAGATACTTTATCAGAAGCAAAACGGAGATCCATGAAAAAGACGGAACTCTTCGCAGATTTACTGAGGTCATGGAGAATTATGCAACA